GGGTCATTTATTTGACATCAACAATTATTATTTTGATATTTTATGATTTTATGGCTGAGGGATAGGGTCATAGGGATTATGTAAATAAAAAACATTGAGCCTTTGATCACAACAATTTTAAACATAGAGTATGGTATGTACCTCTACTCGTACTTATTGTTTTATATTTATTTGTTTTAGCAGTATTATAGTGGTAGGTACCTATAAATCTAACAAATCATACAATAATTATTCTTTTATATTAGTATTAGTAGATTACACCATAAACGCATGGTTAAGTCAACATCACAAATGGACAACATCCTGCTGCTCGATTTGGGTTCAAACTTGAAGCTACAACTACCCATGTCCTGTTGGAGCAAGGCCCGATAAACTTGTTCTGTGATACTACTAATGCGACACACGTGCAATAAAAATCGGTATGCTCCTACGATTGTAGGTCGTGTTGCCGTTCAAGAGCGCCCTTCAACTCGTCAAAACGTTACTGGGAAATCAGGCACGGAAAAAACAATAAAAACCGAAAACGGTTTACCGAGGACCGTATCCGTATGTATGTACCTAGTATGGAAATGGAATGGAATCGTTTCTTTCTTTATTTCAATTTCTTGCCCTTCACGAGCGGTGGGGTGAATGATCAGCCGGTGGTTGTGACCAGGTGTTCGAGCTGGGAGCTACACGCTGCACGTACAGTGTACACATAATAATATACAGGGGTGTGTATTATTATTATTTTATTCCGTACCCCATGAAGCCCCCAAAATCATCATCGAATAATAGTCGTATGTATAACCGTCGTTATATATTAAACATATGGGCGATGGCCGTATACTACCTTATATATTGTAATATACCTATACCACAGACAGCAGGGACGGGCTTACAAATTCCAAAAACAAAATATTAGACATATAAATTCCATAAACTTATAACACAGAATATAACAAGGTATATACATAGGTATCCATAGCTGTACATATTACATAGGTTGTGTACACTATACAGAGTGATATGCCAAGATGAGTGATTCCCCTCTTTTCTTCAATAATGCAGCTATTAAAAATCTGATTTTTGGAATTCTCATCTAATATAATTATATACCTACTAAAATACCATATTTTTAATTTTTGATTTTTTTTTTGTTCTATCTATACTTAATGGGTGTCCTGTGGTTACCACAAGCTTCTGTTTTTCAAATTATAACCCTCAATTTTCGACTAAAAATTATTTATCGGACCATTTTTCTGAAAATGTTGACCTATCAAAATCAAAATTCAAAGGAGTTGTGTTTGTGTTATTTAATATTGTGTAACTAATAAGGATAATAGGTCCATGATAATAATGGGGTTGGAAGATTTGGGGGATATGTTGATTTAGAAATGTTGGTGATTAATATAAATTAATCTATTGTCAATCATAATTTGTTGGTTCAAGCATATAATAAATATTAGATTCAATATTACATCTACTCATATTTTTGTAAAATCATTTTTGGAATTATTATTCTATTATAGCATAAACATTGTAATAACTGAGGAACTAGGTATTTGTACAAATTTTGAATTAGGTGCACCACCATTTAAAATGGAGGGGGTAGGCATGTTTGATGAATCACCCTGTATTATAGAATTTAATGATGTTTGGTGAACAGATTTAGGCATATTATTTAGACGTCAAGATCTGCTGGTGGTCTACCTATGATGTTCAAGTATGTTTTATTTATAACCAATAATACATAGGTATTTGTAATTTATACGAGTATATTATTATATTTAACTTTAGGCTTATACACAAAAAAATTAAATTATATTATATTATTGTATATTATTGTTATATTTTCTCGTCCGGCGCCGGAACTGGGGTTAAAGCATACCTACTTATACGTAAAAAAAGATTAGTAAATAATAATAATAATAATAATACTAATCATAATAATAATGCATAGGTAACACACAGACACTGATATGAACATTACATAATATTGTATATATAGAGCCAGATAGGCATTAGTGTATTAGATATATAACTGTTATATTAATGTAATTATGTGTTTGGTACTCATCACTCGGTGACCCTTTCCAGCAACGAGCAACCCCTTCTAAGATATAAAACACCATAACAATATAGTATATTAAATATAATATGATGCGGAGTGAAACATTTAAATGACAACACTTATCCAAGTGCGTTTTTTATTTTTACAAAAATTGTTTTTATTCTTATAGTTTAGTTGAGGTATAACGCACTACATTAAAAAAAAATTAATTTTTTATCAGTGGTTTTTAATTATATTTTAATGACAAGTCAATAACCTATGTATTTTGTATTTATAGATATATAATCGGAAACAGCTGAATATTATACTTTTATCGAAATGCTTAATGTTGAATAAATTAAGTTTTCAAAATTTAAACGAACGATATACTATAACAGTGTAACTTTGGCGTTTTGCGATGCATTGCGTAATGCTGTTTTAATTAGGTATATATATATATATGTACTATTGTAGTAGACTACTAAGTTACAACAAACAATATATTTAGTTAACATAGTGGTATTCGATAAATGTTATACTGCTTTTGATTATAAAATCAAAAATATATTATAGGTATTGTTATTATTTTTTTTTTAAATACTACCTATTAGTAAAACAAAAATAGACTTGGAAATTAATTAGTTGTGTAGCCATGTATAAGGATCACATTGTATATTTTATAATCACATCGAAACCGTAAATGATTTTAACTCTACGCAGACTACAATAATATATATGAATCACTTCGCACGCTACGTTGACTAGGTACCCATATAAAAATAATGGTTATAATATGTAGCTTGTATTCTTTTGTAAGTACTAGGTATTACATATTGTAAAAGTATCGCGTTATATTTGGATTTACCTGCTACCTATCGGTACACGATTATTCAATCAAGGAGCCCGTAAATCGTTTGAAATTCCAATCTTGATAAAAAAAAAAAAATAATAATAATGAGAATGATTTGCGATATTCTGCTTCTGCCGCAGTTATGGGTACCTACATAATATACAATATATATATAGGTATTCACCGTGCCCGGCGTGCCGTGCAGATATTCCATTACAAGAAACACGTAACTCCCTCCATAACCAACCGGCCATTCTCACAACCAGTTATAAAATAATATATTCGTCTATATTAAATTTAATATACATTTATTTATGAAACGACGTTTTTTTTCGTATATTTCATCATTCCAATAATATATAAACCAATGATGTGGATATAATTATATATACGTAAGCATATATATATATATATATATATATATATGAGCATACACGCACACACACCTAACGCGTGAGTACATATATATATATACACGACACTAGCGTGCATTCGTGGTGGGGGAGGTTCCGGGTTCAACCCCCACTTAAATTGTCTTCAAAACGATAATTTGTTTTTAGTGTTTATTCTTGTATAGGTACCATGTACGTATATTACCTACATGTTGCAGTATACGATATTTTTTCATCATAGGACTTCTCCACATATATACACCCCACCCCCATCCAGAAAAAGACAGATATTAGCACTCGTGGTAAACAATCGGCTTCGTCACAGTAGGTATATAACTAATATGTCTAATATATGTATACATATAACATTTTTTATTCATATGTCGTAATATTATATCGAATGTGTCACTATAGATATCTATACACATATATAAACTACAGTCTACAATATTAGTTATTATTTAGTATTATTAGTTACAACTTACAATATTTGTTAATATTAGGTATATATATTTAGGCTATATTTTATTATGCTCGTAATAATGAAGTTTGATAAATAATAAGTATATATTAATTGCCTTAACGATTTAGCCGAAGTATAAGAGTATACCTGGTATAAAATAATGTTTTTATGTAGTTAGTAGGAATTATTAAATATTGATATGATTATCATTTAAATTAACTACTAATATAATATGATACACAAAAAGTCCTCTCATTGCAAAATGCTGCAAACAGTGCACTGCATCAGTTCGTCTAATTGATAATTGTTTTGCGCTATTATTATGCACATGCGGTTATGGTAGGAATTTTATGCATGATATAATATGTGTATTAAGATTACATCATGTTTATGGTTTATCGATGACAATTTGTATAGGTGATAGATAATAGGTATGCAAGCGGGGTAAATGAACGAATATGACAAGTTAAAAACGAAAACCAAATACATTTGCATAAATAAGTTTGAACTTCTCAAGGCAAAAAAAAAATAATCAACTCTATGACAAAAATATTAACTAACGTCACTTTAATATTAACTTACAAACATCCGGCGCAACTTCACTGGCACAGACGCGATAATAATTGCCCGACAGCACGTCGACTGATGTACTCCGAGACTACTTCGAGTGATCGACCCGTGCTTATATTAATTATATAGTCCTTATCATCATGTACGTTGCTTTTACATTTGTCATCATATGACATATAGTTAACTAAATAATTAAGGGTTATTTATTTCTAACTGAATGGGCAACTTTTTCTATATTTAAGTACCTACTTACCTATACAACTTATTAATTTAAATAATAAATATTTTTGAAAAAACGTTTCTACGATAGGACATAAATAATATTGTAAAATGGTAATATTTCTATTTTTTTTTTAGTCAAATGCGATTATGGTTAATTATTTACAAGTTTATAGCTGCTCAAACTTTAAAAGTTTAGTTACGAAGCAGGTAGAAAGATAGCCACGGTTTATTGATTTATAGCTGGTATTTTGTGGACGTGTAGCACTGTATTTCTCATCTTATCTTAACTTTAATAACTAATAACGATTATAAATACTTAACTACATCAAGTATCAATGTTTAAGTACGATGTTGCGTATTAAGTTCAAAATATTTAACAAAAATGTGAAAACATAAAAAATCACACCGCCATGTTATAATAATGACAGTATATAAAAATGGGTTCAACATTTTTTTCTTAGAGATCACTGAATACATTTAATTACCCTGTATATGCCTATAGGTATACACATCATGCACTGCATGGTATCTTTATACACGTGCAACTGTAAGCGAGTCATATCAGACACCATAATACGTACATCGATCGACAAGGTGTATATATACCTATATCATACTTATATAATGTAGGCTGTACACGGCATAATACCATAGATTATACATATATCTATAATTGATGGTATTACGCGTAGGCACTATAGCCGTATATGGTATATGTATATTAAGTATTTTAATAACCGATACCTATACTACATAGTACATACCTAATACCTATTCATCATTATAGTTTCCCACATTTAAACATATTGTAACTCTAAAAGTACGATTTTCTTTTCGGTTATTGTTCGGTATCTACCTATATAGTCTCGTTCTGACCACTACACACACATTATACAGTATACCTACATCAAAATACACTCGCAGTATACGCATGCAGGTAAGTAATACTCTGATAGTATTATATTATATACCTAAACTATTCGTGTATGTAGTCGTTTTTCGGTTTTCATTCTTACTCGGACTACTCTACGTGTAGTGGTGGTTATACCTACATTTTATAATACATGAAATAGACAATAGTATGTGCGGTTTTCGCTGGTCGTTATTGGTAATTTGATATCCGTGTACCTATATGTAAGAAGGTATTAGTCATTAGATAGGTACTTTATTTAATAACAATTATTCGATTGATTCGAGATATCTGATTTATATTATAATACACCTGTATTTAGCACGAGTTACGGTCTCGGAACTTTTGCTTGTCCATACATTCAATCGTATGCCCTAATAAAAGGTACTGTTGTAGGCCAGTGCCCAGTAGTTCTAAAATCCTATGGCCGTAGGTTAGGTTAATTGACCGTGTTAGATTGGTATGATATTGATATTATATTTATAAGTCACTGACTGTTCTAGGGAAATAATCAGTGGCGCAAGTACGGCTCAAATGTTGGAGGGCTGTGGCCATCGCCCGATATTACATAAAAAATAACTCGTCAACCCGTGGTGGTGTGGGGCACCACACCCTCCATATATAATATGTATATTATACACTTAAAAATATAAAAATTATACAAAAAAAAAAAATGTATTAAGGTATAGTATTATATAATTTATTTACTCGAGTTTTATTTTTCACACTATAATATAATAATATACCTACTGTTTGTATACTATAGTTCAGTGCATATAATGTTTTAAGTTATGTATAATAATCGTACCAATGTACCGACACACATCGTTTCCTCAAGAACAAAGGGGGGGGGGCTTAGCCACCCCCTTTGTTGCGCTTATGGAAAATATATAATAATATGTATATTATATATTATATGAACATTTCGTATATTAAAGGTTACATAATATATAAGTACAAGCCCAGATTAATTTGGAGTGGTGGAAGGGGTTGGAATGGTTGGACGAAAACTAAAGATTTAAACTTTAAACTAGGTCATGGCATATTAGCATATAATTTTAAATTGCTTATTATGAAGTTTAAGTTTATCTATTTTTAAAAGTGTGTTTTAAGTCGTAGGTATAGCCGGTATGGGTACCCCGATGAGTATTCTGTATTATCACAGTCTTAGTTTTACTATTAGGAATAACAGCAAATTTTACTTTCAGAATAATCCATTTTACTGTTTATAAAATATTCAAGTGAGTTGATCTTCTATCATATTTAAAGATAAGAATACTATTTAGACCTTTTCTCCGTAGATGAATTGTTTTTTAAATTATTAATTGAAGTTTTCATCGTGAAATTTTAATATGTCATCTAAACTTATTGCTAGTGAAATTACATAATTCTACGTTTGGAAAATAAATAGCAATAACAATAACATTATTACGAGTCAGTAGTTTGAAAATATCAGTGTTTGACTACAGTATATTATGTATTTAACTATAACATAGGTAATACAATTATACTACTGCGTTATAGTATTTACAGTTAAGAAGGTATAATATTATAATAAAAGGTCGTGTGGACGTCATAAAAGACGAGATGAATAAATTGGGCAAAAAAAACTATTGACTTCAAAAATAAAATAGAAACGATTTATAAATTATTTTAAAATAATCAAAATCTTTCTAATAGAATACATAATACTTAATAAAAGTAGAAAGACACTACTCGACAACCACGAAAATGTTAAATTAAAAATAGTTGTTAAATAATAAATATGATCAAGAATCAACTGTCGTCGTATTCATTGACCACTATCCAGTCATAGTTGTCACATTGTATTTATACTAAGTGGCTATAATATATTTTTTTAGAAAAATAAATGTTATAGATATACTGGTAGGTAGTATAAAAAACAACCAAGGCCGTATTACCACATATAGGCTCTGTACTTAGGGCCCGCGAAATATTCAAAATATTATACCCTCTATAATGGGGAGAAAGTGACTAGGGCCCCAAAGAGAAAAATGCGGGCTTGACAAAAACGCAAATTCACTGTTAGTACTTAGTTTGATGTATATATTTTATTTTTTAAGGAGGAGGTGTCTGTGGTATTTTTTATGGATGGCGAGTGAAAAATTTAGGAATCATTAATTGAGGGTGTTTATTATTAAATGTGATCTACCCCGGGAGAAGTTATCAAATCTAAAAATATAATAAACAGAAAAAACTCCATTTTGATAATCATCAATTATGTTTATGTATTAAGCTCATCCTGAATTTTTAATTTTTTTAGGCACGTACAATTCCGTCTATTTATTAGTAAATAGTTATACGATATGCAGTATTTTGGAACTGAAAACAAAGTTTATTCCAAATTCCAATAGGTATGACCTTTTAAAAAGCACGTTTTATAATCTTAAAGTATGAATTAATTATACACGAATCACGAAACCATAAACATTAAACAATAATAACGTAAATATTAAAGTTGATAAATATTCAATATGTATTATTATAGAATACAAGGGCACCGATCAATTAGAACCTACAAGGGCTTCACAATTATCATAAAAAAAAAAAACTAGGAAGGTAAGAACCAACAAAATTGCTTTTATTAAATAACAGAAAAAATATATAATATATGACATAGATAAACAATGTATGTAATATTATGATCAGTAAATATACCTAGTTTATTATTTACGATGAATTTGAAAAAATGACTATCATTTCACATTTGTGTAGGACATGACGTCACACTCTTATGAATGCCTTTGATAGAATGCATGACTAGTGAAAATGTCTAATCTATACTTATTTTTTATATGATGAGTTATCATAGAATCCCATCACGTAAAATGTGGAACAAATTTTTTCGGTTTATAAATTATTTATATTATGTTTTCGAAATAATTCAATAGGACTAGGTGCATAATGTCTACAATCAAATCAGATCTCAAATGTAACTATAAATGGTTATCAACGGGAAACTGTCAGAAGTCAGAGTTTGAGTCGGAACAAAAACAACCCAATGAAAGGGCCCAAAAATGTGTTTGTTAATTGCATGGAAAAAAATAACTAGTACGCTGAAATAATTTTAATAAATAAGAGGTTACCTAACCTTACATAAAATATTCACATTAATGCTTTATTTTTTTAAGTAAAATTCTTCAAATTTTGTACATTTTAAAAACATCTGTATTACATCATCAAATAAAAACAAGATAAACATGAATATTCTACAATCAGTATTATTTACTATTTTTCTTTGTAGAATCCGAATTAAGGATGAGTGTGGGCGTATAAAATACAAAAGAAAACAAACATAAATAGATAACTATATTCTCATAGATTTAGTAACAACATAAGTGTGTGGGAATATGTATGGGTTTTATTAAACAAACAACCTTTTTATACCATCCCTATTTTGTATTTTTTATACACAACACATATAAATGAATTGATTGTAATTATTTAAAATAAGAATTGTAACATACAATCAGAAAAGTTGTATCAAACCTATTATAATATTTTGATGATAAATAATGTATATTATGGCTTAGAGTATTCAATAAATAATTTGTTTTGAATCTATAAATTAATTTGTATAAAAATAATAAACAAAATAACATCAATAAGATTTAAGATAAAATATACAATTTACTATAATTTTAATAGTTAACAAAATAAATATATGAATTATTAACTGCTCGATAAAGACGTCTATTCTTAAAATAAATTCTTTAATAGCACTATCAAAAACTTGAACACTAAATAAAGTTAAAAATTATGTCTCTAAAAATTTGTTCAACAGTCGTCACCTTCAATTTGATTTGCTAGTCTGTAATCTCCATATCCTGGCTCTAATCCTGGTTTATATTTTGTCCAAAACCCTCCTTTAAAGAATATGAGTAATACAAATATATTGATGATTAGCAGTACTGTTGCTATTATATGCCATGTCTTATCATCCAGTAAATGCTTAATATTCTTTGAATAACAGTAGGTTTGTCCTAATGCATGGGTCATATCTGCATCTCCCCAACATTTTGTGCACTGATAATCATTTGGTCCGTTACATGTATAACATGTATAGTGACATTCAGAACATACACCATCATTATCCTCATATGTTTTGACTGGACAATCGACAACACATTCCCCATTGTATATGTTGTATCCAAATGCACATTCTGTAATAAATTAAAATTAGTTATTTTCTAATATGCAAGTAATATTTTTTAATAAAGCTATAATTAATATAAGCTCAATTAATTTAGTGCTAAAAATTAAAAGCAAAGCTGTGTGGTACACTCACCCAAGCGTTTGGTTGATGTTAGAATAATACAGCCCATTTTGCATTCCAATATGCGAAGTTTCATTATTGTATTAATTGCAAAATAGCACAATTGATTTTAAATTCTGAGAGTTGAAATTGATTAAGGTTAAACAATTATTTAAAAAAATAAAATAGATACATATATAATAACATAAATGTAATACCATATTTTTTTTAACACTATATCTTGTATGATAAAACATTAATTTATATTGAAAAGAAATATTTTCTCACTTATATTATCTACATTAATAACACTTTAAAAAAAAAATAAAGTAATAATTACAAAATAACGATATTAAGATACTATAAGAAAACAGACAAACAAATAGTTTAGTTTTTAGTGTTGCTTCATTAAATTGTTTGATTTGCAAAACCCATTTCTACATAAGTTTAATCTATTAAACATTTTGTCCAAATGTTGTTAAACTAGTAGTTAAGCTATCTTAAAAGTAACTAGTGAAGTTAAGATATTGAAAAAATAAGCTATTATTTTTTCCACTTTAAAACCAATATTGTCCAACATTAATTGTAATCCTTTCAAGACTAGCTTACACAAATATAATATACTTGAATATATCATATTATCATAAGAATTTTTAAAACTAATACATTTTATCTTTGTTGGATACAAGGGTTTAATAAATGTAATTTATCTCCATAATTTTAAGACAACGAAACAATAACAATAAAATATTATTGTTCAATAATTAGGTGTGTAATAAAATTTGTATACATATCATACCCCTGTTAGCCATTTTCACAAATTTTAATGAACAGAAATAGAAACTTCAAAACTTTTAATACAGAATTCATTTAAATAGATCCATTACCAGTTACTACACTACCCATTACAAAATACTATAAATGAGATTTTTAAAGCAACAAAAATAGACTTATAATAATTCATTCATTCCATTTAAAAACCTCAAAGCCTCAACTCAAATACCTAGTTTCATCACAAATAAAACTACAAACTGAGAAATAAATGATTGAGGAGTTACGTACATATTTTTTGAAACTTTTGAATTTCCAAGCAAAAATATGTTACTATAAAACTTATAATATAACTTATAAAAAAAAATTAGATCTCATCAAATGAGAAGAAAATACCCTTGCACAAAATTAAAATAGTTCCTTGTACTATTTTTAAAATATTTTCTTATTCATGAATTATTTATAGTATTTATTTGTATATTTGAAAATTTTTATTAATAAATATCATTTATATCATAAGGTAAATCAGTATTATAGTTTAAATGAAATTATTAACTACACAAATAATTTTCATATCAACTGTTCTGTCCATACAAAATACAAATTTATTTATTTTTTAAAAAAATGTGGTTTTAAATAGTTTTGTATATGACATATATATTTATAATAAAGATAGTATATTTTACCTTTTATTTTATGTATAGCTAACTGTTCAGGTATTAAATGGAAAAACATCTAGATTAGTTGATTAAATTTATTTGGAAAATACAACACAAATCAAAATACTAATTTTTTAGAACACAAAATATTATCAAAGTACAGTAATAATTTTATTTACAAGATAAACAGTTTTTTGAGCGTAACATACTTTGGTATTGATGAAAGTAAAATATAGATAATAAAATATTTACATAGGTCTAATAATTAATATTTTATAATACTGATTTGGCAAAATTATAACTATTTAATTGATTTAGACAAATAATTAAGTAGCTATTAAAAATGTTTTTTTTAAACTTAGAAATGTATTCAAATACAATAAAAACATGACTTATTGACACACCAAAACCAATCACTACTATCGCTTAATTTTAAAACTTAATTCATTATTTTACATTGAAAGGTTAATTATAAGTTATAACTAATAAGATTATACTGAAATCCATAAAGTATACTGCCAATTCAGAGATAGGAAGAATACAAATTATACAAATCAAACTTAAACATAGAAAAATAAAAATAATAATTAATAAATATAGAAAGGAAATGTTTTGCTATTATCTATTATAGCATAGTAATAACAATATTAAATATTAATAGTACCATTGAGACTTTAGAATAAATCACTAGAACTGTTATCAGAAAACAAAAAATAACGCTAAGCCATTGATGAAATATATAATGTGTATAGTGCCTAATTAATCAATGACTAAACTATAGCTTACAGTTATTATATTTATTATTCTAAAATAAACCCAATAAATAACTATAGTAAAGTTTTTAAAAAAAATGGTTTATGATTTTTTTTAAGAAGATGTCTGTTAAAACTGAATAATTGTTTATCAATGAAAATATTTAGGAGATAGATTAAATTAATATTCTACAGAAGTATAATAGTTATCTAAACAAAGTTCATTACTAGTTATATATTAGGTTATTTCGGTATTGTCACTATTGTGGTATAATTGTATTATATATTATTAGGATTGAAGACATAAAATTAACTAAGCACAGTCAAATTTTTTTCTATATTTTTTTCAGTAACAATTGACCAATTGGTTACACAATAATTTGTAAAATGTTTTAAACATTAAAATTGTATGATGCTTTTACAGAAAGTAAACATATTTCAAAGATAAAAAAATGTAACTTTCAAATTCAAACAAATTTTTAATATTACTAAATTATACAGACTTAAAAATATATCACACCAATTCTTAAATGTATTTATAAATTACACAACATATATTTACTTTTTAATTAATTTGTGTAGAACAATTTACTCATAGTCGTATTATCACATGTCATATAAATGTATGCTATATTATTTAATACTTTATTATATTATGACAATTGTACAAATATTATTTAGCTTGATAATTTTAAAAACCTACACGTTCAACTATATACTAAATAATATTAAACTAATAATAAAAGATCACTACCTACAATAAATATATTATAACTAAATTATATGTAGGTTAGTAAAAAATGAACCAATAATCTATTATTAATAAAAACAAAATTATGAATTTTGGGTTCAAATATATTTTTCAACAGTTTAATAGGAATAAATTTTAATTTTTTTTATAATATTATAATATATTTAAAATATACTTTCAATGTTTAAAGACAGAATTGTTCTGGATTATACATAAAAAATTGTTCTATTCATTAACCAATACTATATAGCAATTTTGTTCCATGAAGATTTAGAGATGAAGTATTAATTAATAAATCTAATATTTTTTAAACAAGTTATATTTTAAAAAAAGTTAAAGAACTAAGGAGACATACAATTTTTTCATTCCATACTTAGAATATTTCCAATGAGAATTCATCATTCCTTAGTTTTTTGTACAGTTAGTATCATTGTATCTTTTTCATGTTACATGTATTCTATATTTCAATGTACCATTATAAATGTATTGGAACTTAAAATTATGTAATTGGGATTGTCCCATATTAACAGATAACTAAATAAATAAATATAACTAATAAAATATTCATTAGAAAGAGCACCATTATTATTTTGTTAGTTAATATTCAAGTATAGATGAATTGGAACTGAAATTTAATATGGCCCATGTTAAATTTGAAGCAATATGCTAAAAAGTTATAGTTAGAAAATAATATTTTAAGATTTTATTGTAAATTATAGAGAAAAATAAAAGGACAAACTTTGAGAGATGATTGGAAGATAATTAAAGGAGTAGAGAAGCACATAATAGTATGATAACATTTTTGTATTTGTATCACAGATCAATCAATAATAATTAAAGCACAAGGTAGAAATATAAGCAAAGCCAATGTATCAGAAATATAACTAATTTAAATCTCAAAATATTAGGATAGAACTTTT